CAGCTGAAAACAAGCTCTCTAGGGAAAGCACGAGTAGTACTTTGTAATGGCTGCGTTCAAATTTTACAGCATCAAAGTATAATTCATTGCAATCATAAAAGTTTATGCATTCAGTATCAATTTATCAAGAGAGCATTAACGTGTTATGTAATACTGATGTTGAATTCGCAAACTCTAAATTGGCGTTTGGCTTTAAGGATTGCTCAACGTTGAAATCCACACAAATATTGTGGATTTTGAGTAAATACACGCTTTTGAAATATGCCGGTTTTTGAAAATAGCGCAGCTTTACATGTTTATATTATTAAATAATTATATTAATTATAATTAGTACATGATTCTCGGCGATGCTCACCGAAGAACGCTCCACAACCGTGTATCGCAAGTGTCGACACATTCTGAAAATTTCCTGGCCAGAATTTCCACCCTGAATACGCGTACACCGCTCTCATCCCACGCTGCAGCATAATTATATGGGAAATCGCGTCCCTCTCTCTCCCTTCTTTCTTTCTCGCCCCTCTCTGTCTCTGCGGTCAATATCTTGGACTGCACTAAAATCCACGATGAACACTCTTACACATACACACGCACGCTCTCGCCATATATGGGCAATCGCCTCCTCCGTTCGCGAACTAAATCGCCAATTTAAGAGGCGATTTCTGCACAATGTTCTTAACAAGGTAGGCGCCAACTCGTGGCTTACGCGAAGCCAACTGGCGCGTCTCAGCCGACCGAGAAAAAAAAACAAATTCTCCAATTTTCTATTTTCGAAGCTTGTAAAAAAAAAAACAATCAGTCGCATAGCGGCGCCGCGCGAACGACGGAATCGCCGATATTTCGCTCGTAATGCGCTCTCGCCGATGATAAAAGATTTCCGCGTATTTGCTCAGGCGCACGTCGCACTGCCGCCGCGCGTCTGTCTTCTCTGTGCAATTAGGATTATATTCGTGTATGGGGCGTGCGTGCGTGCGTGCGTGCGTGCGTGCGTGCGTGCGTGACTGCCGCCACAGACGACATGGCACTAAGACGACGTAACACAAAGACATCGTCTTTGCTTCTTATCTCTACGACACATTTGCTCGATACCGAAACATGGGAAACGCATTCTGAGCGTCTGCAATCTTTCTATTTAAGACGACATCGAGCGGTTTTTTTTCGAACTCGGGTTGACAGCGGGGAGCGGTCTATCGCCAACGATGGCGCGCGCCATCTAGAGGGAAAACCCGGAACGATTCCGTGCATGAGTTTTCGAGCTGCACGAGCGAATGCACGGAGAACGAGACACGGGTCGTGCGGAAAGATACAAGGGGAGAGATGACACGTCCAAACACAGAGAACACGTTCGGGCAGAGAGAAGGATGTAGAAAATAGGCAGAGAAGGACCGATTGCAAAATGGCGCGGTATTTTGATAACTACACGCTTACAGGCAAGCACGTCTTCTCCTGTCTACCGCTCAGCCTCATTTGCAATTTTCATGACATTATCATAAAAAAGTACAAATTTACATGGCGAATTGAAGATTGCGCCGATAAAAAGAAATGGATATCTACCATTTAAATTGTGACTCATTCTTTATTCATGGCACTTTCGTTATAAGAATTGCTAATCCAAATCCAGAGTCGTGACAGCTATACATATATATATACACACATACTGCTCCTTGCCTAGACAACTTAGCTAACCTGATAACTGACTAGAAATGATACTTCTCCTTTTCACCCTTTTCCCGTTTTCTCGCTAGTTTTCCGCTCGGTTGTTAACTTTTCACTATTTTGGGGGATTGAAGTTCGTTGTTCTAACCGTTCGTTCTATTTGCTTGGATCCACTCACACCCGCGCATGGCACACTTATACGCCACTCCATTCATCTCTGCTGCATTTTATTCGGCGAAGCCACTAATACGTACGATGTTTGTCGTAATTACACTGCTGCCTGGATAATACCGGAATCATCTGCATTTAAAAAATCAAAAATTATCAAAATTCGGTCAATTGTTTTTTAAAATTTAATACGCTAGTCCAACTAGAAAATGTAGTTACGTTACGTTATATCACGTTGCGTTGCGTTGCGTTGCGTTGCGTTACGTTAGGCTTACATATCACGTTACGCTATAGTAAACGTAAGATGACAACACCGCGCAGTAAACGAAACAAAAGGTTATCTGTTCACCGACCAGAGCCACCGACATCCTCTGCACAGATCCGGATCCGGGATTCGTGTTGCAGCAGATAATTAATCGTTTGCGTGTTGCCCCAGCGCCTATAGTTCGTTTTTATGTTCAGAGATGACAGGCCGTCCACACTATAACATATTATACACAGCGTAGCGCAGAGCATCAACACGATGAGACTCAAGTTAGGCTAACTTTGCTACATAGCAGCAGAAGTAGATAATAGGGAATTATTCTCTATTATCTACTTCTGATAGCATACACGTCCGCAGAAGGCGTGCATGGAGTGTGGCTATCCGATTCAATGATAACATCAGGAGTCTATCAATATATCTATATATATTGTGTCTATCAATATTGATAGACTCCTGATAACATGGTTGCCTTATTTAGGTAACGACGTAATGGGATGCGATTTACACCACCCAGGACCTATACTTCATTATCACCGATATAGCTCCACGACAGACATTGTCTCTCCGCCATTTGTTTTGCGATATGAAACTTTGAAGATGGGTATGTATTGCACTATGTATTGCACTATGTATTGCACTGTGTATTGCACATATAAACCCTTCTCTAACTAAAACTCGCGCTAAAAGTTCAAAGAGTACTCCCACCTTTTAAGGCTGCAGTGCGAGAATTTTGTTCTAGCTAAACCAATTTACTGATGAACTTGGTAATTTAATGGTTTTACACTTTTAGTGCTTAATCCTTCGTGGGAAATAGAGAATTTGTGGGAGAGGGGGAGGTATATTACATCACGTCCCTCATCGCAAATGTATATATTTTACGAGACTGAAAAATAGATCACTAAACGCATTGCTTTTTCCACTGTCGAAAGCGACCTCTATGCTGGCGGTGCCAAGCATGCTCAACGTCACCGACACGTATAGATGGCGCTAGCAACCCCCTGCCTCATCATAAGTGGCGGGAGGAGAGATGGGCGTGTGAAGTAACGTGATGACGCATTAACAGCACGTCTAAACACACTATACACGCGACGCCACGAAGCTACATATATACAGTGGATGCACGACCCAACAACGCATTACGATTGCCACAGCAGAATACGGGAGACCGCTTGCGAACAGGGGACAAACAAGCGAAAACTGCGACAGACAAGTGAAAACAGCGACAGACAAGCGAAAACTGCGACAGACAAGCGAAAACTGCGACAGACAAGCGAAAACTGCGACAGACAAGCGAAAACTGCGACAGACAAGCGATGATTGCGACAGACATTTCAATCGCCATACAGAAGACGCCGTGCGAACAGCCGAACATACCATCGCCATTGCCCGCGCGAGGGGGTCGTGCGTGCACCTTATACTGATGGACGCAGGCTGGGTGCATCACCTTGCAGCCGCCCCGCATTAATCAGGGGGAGGGCTGATGGCAGAACGACCCCCCCCCACACACACACACACGTGAAAGATACGACTATTGCACTCTCAGTACCAGGAATAAATAAAGAATACTAACGTAATACTATCATTTACACTTCTTTGGTACTTGGGTCATTTTTTCCGACGACGTCCCTTTCTCTTCATTTGCACTATAAAACATACAATTCACGATGACTAGCATAAAATGACTGTAATAAATACCGATATTATACATCATACTGAATCCACCATAATTGAGAGAGAGAGAGAGAAGGAAAAACTACATTTCTAAACAACTATACACACCGGGAGCAGACGTCCTCTCCTCTCAACTCTCATCTAAATTACCCCCTTATAATTCATTCTCCAGCCACGCGCAGCTCTCTCTCTCGCGCCGAGGTGGTTTACGAAAATAAACACGTCGTCGCCAAAAAATATACACTCGGAACGGAGTGTAAGTGCTAATTATAGCCCCCAAATGATCGCCCCATTAGTGGTGCGAAAGCGTGCGCGCAAAAATCGTCGAGACTCTCGCGTTTCGCGTTGTTAGATACGAACGATGTTTTAAAGGGGGCGCTGCACTTCAGTATCAACGCCATCACGATACAACCAACGCACTTACGGTAATTTACGCAATAGGAGTAGCAGAAGCGCGGGAAAAAATCAGCGCTAATTCTTTTTCGAAAACCGCTTTGCTATCCGCCTTTCATTTGAATCCCCCCCGGAAAAGGTTTCACCTTTGAAAACTTTCGCCAGGGACAATACTGCGTCAACATGTGGGTGAATATGAAAGGGGTACTGCACATATGACATGATTTTCCCAACGGCAGCATCAAGTAGGATTTTACACACAAAAAACTACAATCACAACGACAGCTACAGAGACCTACGCTCACGCGAGACATTCTAAAATTTACATTGCAGTCAGTTAAACACGTAAGAATCATTCTAAACGTCGCTAGAATATCGACTAGACGAAAACTGCTGTCCGTCTGCAACCCTTAACATTCCGAACGCCGAACATCAAAAACGCCATACGAAGTTCAAATCACTTTACGCAGAAATGTTTCAGATTTTTTTTAAACGCACGCGCCCCGCACGCATTGATCGCACGTGTCCTTCGCCTCACAACGCCAAAAAAAACTACGAACAGTTTTCACTTGACATTTCCTCGACCTCGAACGCAACCTTTACGACAGAACCTTTACCTACGAACAGGTTTCCTCTAGCGCAACCTCGCGACTGATGACCCCAATCACACATCACGCGCTAAACAACATTGCACTGACTAGTTTAAACAAATGGAAGAAGATACATTGCAACGATAGACGCCCGCCTGCTTCCCCCCCCCCCAACACCCACCCACCACTGTGAAACCGAATCCCATCAACCCACCTCTATCTCTCCCACCCCACACCCCCATTTTCGTAAGCTCGAACGCCAAGCCTCCGTTTCGTCACCCACCGGATGAGCAGTAGTGGCTATCAAACCCCACGAGCAAGAGAAAAAGAAAACCCGCCGAGAACGCGTTCTGGCTATAGCATCGTAAAAAGTACCTCCGCGTACTCGACTCGAACAGCGGCGCCCCCTGCCGCCGCCCCTGCACGCCACCAGGTGTCGCCGTCGGTCCTCGGTCGTCCGCGCGAGCAGACGCTTGATTTCTCCTCCCCTCCTCCGCCGATCATGCGAAGAACTCCTTCGGAGGGGTTTTGGAATACTGGTTCATGAGCGGCGAACGCTTGGGCTCGCCCAGCGAGTAGCTGCCCTCGTCCTTCTTCTTCAATCGGTGTATGACGTAGGCAAGGGACAGGCAGGTGATGATGAAGACTAGTGCTGACACGGCGATGATGACTGCAATATAATAACAAACGTTATCACAACAATGAAGACAGCAATGATGACTGCAAATAATAACAACGTCATCACAACAATGAAGACAGCAATGATGACTGCAATATAATAACAACGTCATCACAACAATGAAGACAGCAATGATGACTGCAATATAATAACAACGTCATCACAACAATGAAGACAGCAACACCGTCATCAACGTCAACAACGACAGTAAGTGGGACCGCAATATAACAACAACGCCATCAAATGACACAGCAAGTGTCAACGATGACAGTAACACAATAACAACGTCATTATTAATGACGCGGCAATGACAACTGCAACACAACAACAACGTCATCAACGACACAGCAAGTGGCAACGATAACAACCACACCAATAACGTCATTATCAATGACGTGGTAATGACGACGGCAACATGACCGTGTCCGCCTGAAAATGTGTACCTGTGTCTCTCTCTCTCTCGCTCTCTCGCTCTCTCGCTCTCTCGCTCTCTCTCCTCCTCTCTTCTCTCTCTCTCTCTCTCTCTCTCTCTCTCTCTCTCTCTCTCCTCTCTCTCTCTACCTCCCTCCTCTGCTCGCTCTCTCTCTCTCTCTCTCTCTCTCTCTCTCTCTCTTCTCTCTCTCTCTCTCTCTCTCTCTCTCTCTCTCTTCTCTCTCTCTCTCTCTCTCTCTCTTCTCTCTCTCTCTCTCTCTCTCTCTCGCCTCTCTTCCTCTCTCGTCACTCTCTCTCTCTCTCTCTCTCTCTCTCTCTCTCTCTCTCTCTCTCTCTCTCTCTCTCTCTCTCTCTCTCTCTCTCTCTCTCTCTCTCTCTCTCTCTCTCTCTCTCTCTCTCTCTTCTCTCTCTCTCTCTCTCTCTCTCTCTCTCTCTCTCTCTCTCTCTCTCTCTCTCTCTCTCTCTCTCTCTCTCTCTCTCTCTCTCTCTCTCTCTCTCTCTCTCTCTCTCTCTCTCTTCTCTCTCTCTCTCTTCTCTCTCTCTCTCTCTCTCTCTCTCTCTCTCTCTCTCCTCTCTCTCTCTCTCTCTCTCTCTCTCTCTCTCTCTCTCTCTCTCTCTCTCTTCTCTCTCTTCTCTCTCATCTCTCCTCTCTCTCTCTCTCTCTCTCTCTCTCTCTCTCTCTCTCTCTCTCTCTCTCTCTTCTCTCTCTCTCTCTCTTCTCTCTCTCTCTCTCTCTCTCTCTCTCTCTCTCTCTCTCTCTCTCTCTCTCTCTCTCTCTTCTCTCTCCTCTCTCTCTTCTCTCTCTCTCTCTCTCTCTCTTCTCTCTCTCTCTCTCTCTCTCTCTCTCTTCTCCTCTCTCTCTCTCTCTCTCTCTCTTCTCTCATCTCCTCTCTCTCTCTCTCTCTCTCTCTCTCTCTCTCTTCTCTCTCTCTCTCTCTCTCTCTCTCTCTCTACCTCCTCTCCTCTCTCTCTCTCTCTCTCTCTCTCTCTCTCTCTCTCTCTCTCTCCTCTCTCTCTCTCTCGCTCTCTCTCCTCTCTCGTCTCTCTCTCTCTCTCTCTCTCTCTCTCGCTCTCTCTCTTCCTCGTCTCTCATCTACTCTCTCGTCTCTACTCTCATCGCTCTCTATCTCTCTCGCTCTCTCTCACTACTCTTCATTCTCTCGTCTCTCTCTCTCTCTGCTCTCTCTCTCTCTCTCTCTCTCTCTCTCCTCTCTCTCTCTCTCTCTCTCTCTCTCGCTCTCTCTCTCTCTTATCCCTCTCTCTCGTGCTCTCTCTCTTTCCCTCTCTCTCGCGCGCTCTCTCTCTCGCTCTCGCGCCCTCCCCCTCTCTCTCTCCCTCCCCCTTCTCTCTCCCTAGTGTGTTTGTGTGTGCGACGGCTGTTGTGTGTGGTGTGTGTGTGTGTGTGCTGTGTGTGTGTGTCCTCATGTGCTCGTGTGCTGTGCTTGTGGAGTGGTGTGTATGTGACTGGTGTGCTGTGTGTGTGTGGTGTGTTGTGTGTGTGTGTGTTGTTCTGCGTGTTGTGTGGTGTGTATGTGCCCCTGTGTGAGTGCGTGTGTATGTTGCGTTGTGATAGTACCCACCCCGCGTGTGTGTGTATGTGGCGTGTGAGTGCGTGTGTGTGTGTGTGTGTAGGTGTGTGTGTGTGTGTGGTGGCGTGGTATGTGTCTGTGTGCGCTGGCCGCCTTGGCGTGCCGCTCCGCTGTGCCAGTCGCCGTGTGACGTGCAGTTGCGCTGCTCGCCGTGCGCGGAAACAACGCAGTCAGCTCGGCTGCTACTTTACGTCGGGCGCGCCCGCGCGTATGATACAACCGTAGCGTAATAACGCAGCGCGTCGATAACAACATAATAACGTGGTGTAGCGATCGCGGCGACAGATCAACGTGCGGTTGCCACGCGCCCTCTGACCGACACACACACACGCGCGCGCGCGGCTGTCGACGTCTGCCGACTGCCGCGCGTGACAGCGTTTCACTCAGCTACCTACCGCGCGTGAAGCAGAAAAAACTCGTGTTGTACGAGTGAGTGGTTTACCTTCCCAGCACGGCTCAAGGACACTTGAAGAACGTGTTTTATGTTTTACCTTCCCCACACGCTGAAGGACGTGCGATCAAGGTTAAACACCGTATATATACATATATATATCCACGCTGCTTTGCTGGCAGCAATACACAAGCTGTACAACAACAGTAGGGGTTTTCAAGTCGAAGTGGTGTGTATTTCAAATTAATTACATATCGATACATATATATTCGAGCCTGTATCTATGTAGGGTTTGTCAAACGGTAATTGTATTCTCGAAGAGATGTGAATTCGTCTCATGCAGCTAAAACTGCGTTGCTAAAGACTAAGACTTAGACTGCGTTGCTAAATGGCCACACGCCACCTGCGGGGCGGTGTTACGAAAATTATACGTTTACTAGGCGTTCTACTTGTACACACGGTTGGTTTGTCCCGCTTTATAATTATATTGGCTTGCTGCAAGACTGATAGCTGTCATGAACGCGCTGCTAGTAAAGCTAATCGAGCCTAGAATATTACAAAATGTTCATCAGCGAATGCACTTATTTGTTGCAGACGAAATCGATAAATTTGTACAGGTGACTGATATTTTGACAAGAATATCGGGATACGTCGTACGCACATTTTTGTTTACTTTTACAAATTACATTTAGCCAATCAAACGCGAAGTAATTTAGTTTAATTATTTTCCTCTGCAAAGAGTGATCGACAGTTTGTAAAGGTTGCTATTAACAGTGAAAAATACGTGTACGCATACGCACGTATGCGCACACCTGCACATACACACACACGCGCACGCACGCACGCACGCACGCACGCCGGGAGGCAGATGTACGAATAGTGACGCGACATTCGAAATTTTTCCGAAAATCTCGTCCCTTCAAAGTACAATTCGAACTAATCATCTCTCTAACGCCCTAAAGAATCGGCGCGCGAAGGACGTGCCACGGGGCAACGTTACGGCTTGATTGCTGCCTGCCGGAGACAGACTTCAGGCCAGGTGGGGGTGGTGGGGGGGAGCGAATCGCCTGCGCGCTTGTCGTCAAATTACAGGTGAAGATAACTAGAAAATTCTGTGAAATATCCGATAATCGGATTTACCCCCCCCCATGATGAAAGGTGTAGACTGCGCTCAGTTACTAAATGGACACGTGCACTTTGGGTAGGGGTGAGGAGGTGAAGGTGGGTGGGGTGGCATGAGCACATTGGGTAGTGGGGGGGGCGAAGGTGGGAGGGGATTCAGCCTGTAGAGGGTGGGGTGGGATTTGACTGACACACACACGCTCGCACGCACGCACGCACGCACGCACGCACGCACGCACGCACGCACTCACGCACGCACGCAAGCACGTACATGGGTAGGATTTAACTCTGACATACAATCCACACTTTCCGACGAACATCTCACAGCTTACTCGACATTGTGACGATGTCCATTCCTCCTTCGTCGGATTCCGGATCCGGTTCCGGTTCGTCGCATCCGGCCTGGCATCCGGCGATGTTCGCCATTCCCCTCAACGTCTGCGTCGACGTCTCCATGGACGGCACGAGTAACTCTGGCACTTGATTACCGCTCTTGTTTGGCTGCCAAGTAGAAACGAGAGAGACGCGCATGGTGAGAGTCTCATCTTCATCTTCCGGACTGTACGGGGAACGACGTTAGAACAGAAATCTCTGTGCGTCGTTGTGTTCTGTCACCGGAGATGTGTCAACCGTGTTCGTGTTTTTTTGTTTATTAGATGGCTAACGATTCCGCCTGTCTAGTTGAAAATTATTTTCCCTTTTTAAGATTTTTTTAGTTATTTTTTTTATTATTATTTTATTTTAATTATTTTTTAAGTTCAACGTGTTAAAATATACACGACGTATGCATGCGTTAGCCACTCGGAGTGAGCCCGACACTCTACGGACACATTTAGACGATGTGCCGTCGTCTGTCCACGCATTTCCCTGTCATACGTTCAGCTTCAGAGGAAATGAAGCCCAATACCACACACCACGGCAACGTTACTTTAGCGGGAACTATGTCTGTCTATGTCATTTTGCTAGCGTATACTATGACTGTCTATATCCTTTTGAAAGCGGGTACTATGTCTGTCTATGGCCTATAGCGGTTTCTATGTCTGTCTATGTGCTATAGCGGATACTATGTCTGTCTATGTCTTATAGCGGATACTATGTCTGTCTATGTCCTATAGCGGGTACTATGACTGGCTATGTCCTTTATCGGATACAATGTCCGCCTATGTCCTATAGCGGGTACTATGTCTGCCTATGTCCTTTTGATAGCAGGTACTATGTCTGTCTATGTGCTATAGCGGGTACTATGTCTGTGTATGTGCTATAGCGGATACTATGCCTGTCTATGTCCTATAGCGGGTACTATGTCTGTCTATGTCCTATAGCTGGAACAATGTCCGCCTATGTCCTTTAGCAGGGATATGTCTATCTAGGCAGCCTGTCTATGTCCTTTAGCAGGGATATTTCTATCTGGGCAGTCTGTCTATGATCCTTTGATAGCGGATGTGTCGTATCGGTATCCACCCGACAAGCGCCGACACTCGGCTTACGGCGTCGCCTCATGAACCGCTCGCCGGTAAATGACAAATTCAAATAGATAATTGTCGCGCGGTATTCCCCCCGGTGCCGCGTCGCAGTGAAAGGCACCGAAATACGACACAATGCAGACAACACACGACGCGTGGAGACCTTTTGTGAGAGAAAAAAAACGACGACGAAATGCCGGCAGCGTTTCGTCTGCGTCGAAATCTCGCGGGCACGGCGTCGGTAATGATGGTGGTGTACAAACACATCACACACGCACGCACGCGCGCGTACCACGCGCCGGCAATCGTTCTATAGAAGCCCCGAGGGTATAGGTGTACACACAAACACATGCACACACGCGCGCACACACACACACACGCGCGCATACACACGCACGCGCATACACACACACACGCGCGCGCACGCACGCACACACACACACGCACGCACGCACGCACCCACACACGCACGCACGCACGCACGCACGCACACACACACACACACACACACACACATCACACC